TCAAGTCTACTCACATTGTGATGCAACATGTATGCCTAGGGAATGAAGTTTTAATATAGTTGGATCACATACACTTCTACAGGCTCGTGGAGCAGTGATAGGACTGTAAACGAGCCTAGCCGAGCTCAAACTGAGAGTGCACGAGCTTGAGCTCGTGACCTTAACGAGCCGAGACTGACTCATCTCGTTAAGTAAAGAAGACAAAAATAAAGCTCGAGTTGATCAGTTGGTTTATCAATATTACAAGTCGAGTTCAAGTCTTAATGAGTTAATGTCGAAATTTAACGTGACGAAATATGAAAAAATATATAAAAAATCTCTTTTTCAGAATTATTTTCTAGCTGAGCCGAGCCAAGCCCAACTTGTTGACGAAACAAGTTGTAAGCAAGTTCGATTCATTTATCAAATGAGTCGAGACGAGCTCACAAACAACTCATTTCATTTAAAAAATTTATGCAGTGCCCATGAGGTAGAATCGAGCTTATCTACTAATTATTGTTTAAGCATTCATAAACTCCATATATGGGTCTAGTGAATGTTCATGCTAGTATGACACTTTCGCTACTAGAAATCCATGAATTTGTAACCAAAATCTACAATTGAATCGTTTTTTAAATAATATTATAATAATAACTGAAAAATTAAAAATGAGTATTCTCGAGGTGTTAATTGACAACACAAGAACCGACACAGAGGTTATAACCACCCCTTTGGAGTTACAATTAAACCTTAATTAATTGTTACAATTATAACTATAGTGCTCTTTTACTTGTGCACATGCACGAGCAAGATCAATTTTATTATGCTAAGTATTAAATACAATTTAAATTCAATAAAATAAAAATTAAATTATTTTTTACATATCGATTATGAAACTTTTCATTATACAAGATACTATATATATGTCGATTGATTCTCCGCATTTTAACAATATTTTTATTTTTCTCGATGGTTCTTTTTTAAAAAAACATTATAACTGGATATGGTAAAAAATTTCAACCACTAATACATTACATACTAAACTAATATATTATAGTTGCACGTAATTTAACATGTCTCGCTATACATATCACCATGGGCGGTCGGTACATCTAAATTTATACTAGTAAAAAATATTTTAGCCCATGTATATTAGACTAACCACGAATTAATCTTATTTTGATCTAAAAATAATATATTTATTTTAAATTAAATCAATGAATTATATATTCGAAATGGTTTAAGTCTCTGTTTTTCCTTTTAACTCATTATGTCGTTTTTCATCTTCTTTTTGTGTTTATATTATATTATTTAGTTAAATAAAATTTATTTAAATAATTTTATTCGAGACAATAATTACTTGTGTTAGATTTTCAGTTCCATTAGAATATATAGTATGCGGTTGAATTTATTGATTTTACAATTTAGTTATATATTTTTCTGATTTTTTAAATAAATGGTACTTCAGTATATATATATATAAAAAAAAAATTAATGCCAAATCTCATTTATTTATGTAGCATATTCAATGAAATTATATATGAACCTTAAATGACAAGTCATACGACAAGAATAAAGCGATTAGTATACCGTCTCATGGCCAATTACTATTAATTATATGTGTTAAATTAAAAAAGTAATTTATTTTTTTTTATTTATAAAAAAGTCATAAAATGACCAATTACTATTGAATATTTTATATAATTAAAATTTATGGTGTGTCTTCTTATCAACAATATATATTTTGTACGAAATTAAAAAACAGAAAAAAGATAAAAAGAAAGCTAATAAATATTATAAATAATATTTTTTAATATTTAAATATATATCATAGCAGTAAATTGAACTAAATATTTTTTAGAAGGGATTAGTGACTTGTTACAAGAAAGTAGTTTCTTAATTGATGTGAAGTCTACATGAATATTTCAACACAAGTCCTATTTATGGTACCAAAATGTTGTAGTAGATTTCTCAAGATTTGATCCTTTATGTAATTTCTTTTCATTTTGTGCTCTAGAATCTGTTGACATTCACCGTCTTTTCGTGTGTATTATTTTAGTTCAGACTTTCAGAGTGGGAGCATTGAATATGTTCTTGCTTTTCTTTGACATGACTAGAACTTCTTTAAGTTATTGTGTTACCTTGTAACTTTACTACTTAATTAGTATAATTAATCTTGCAAATGCAGAGGCTATCAAAAAAAGAAATATATATATATATATATAACTCATTTAAAATAAAAATTGATTAGGCCATCTCTAGTCCTTATCTCTAATCTAGCGCGGACTTTACTCTACTCTAGAGTAGAGTTGAACATTATCTTCAGCCCTTATCTCTACATTTTACTCTACATCAAATATATTATTTTTTTATTCATTTTTTATTTCAAATAAATTGGTATATATGTATATTTAATCTTATATAAAATGTTAATTACTCAAATAATTTTAATGAAATCTACTCGTTTGTATGTGTTAAATTTTTATTCATATGGTACCATTTTAAGATTAAAAAATTTAAAACAAAATTATTAATACATCAATAAATAAAAAAACAAAAAATTATTTAGCATAAAAAATATATTTCACAAAGTTATATAGCATAAAAATGCATTTATTAGTTCACATTATACAAAAAATTATCATTAATATTACATAAAAAAACAAAAAAAAAGGAAAAAATATGGCGTTGCGCTACAGTGCTGCACTACAATTGGCGCAGCACTGTTCCCATATCTGATGTAGCGCAAGATTTCAGCGCAGGGTTGGAGCAGATATTTGACACAACTCCAGCGTTTTTTGCGCTAGAATATTACAGAGCTGGAGGTGGTCTTAATAGCCTACAATATGCCTGTACTATTTTGTAATTATTCATTATTATAATTAGATTAGCATTTTGCATTTGATATTGTGACTTTCATCTATGTTTGTATGATATATCAACTTGGCATCCCAATGTTTGAGCTAATTATATCCTAATATCGAGATTTCTGCACTTATTAGTTAGACGAGGACTCATCTTAACTAATAATTGCACGAAAATAGACGCAAACGAGCTTCTTGTGTCACTTTTAGGGGAAGTTATTTGCTATTGGAGGAAGAATGTGGTTCCTATATATATGGTTAGAGATTGAAAGGGAAATTTATTGGATTTTAGCAAGTTAGAGATTGAAAGGGAAATCAAACAGATGCAGTTCAATTTGGGCAGTTGGCCTAACTGTAGAATGCTTGAGACCTAATGTGATCACATTAATTATGCTTTTATGTGAGCTTGAAAAGTTTCATGTATAAAATAAAGCATCCATTGAATGATATGCTCATGTGATGTGAATGGCACTATTGAATTCTGATGAGGGTGTTATTCGAGTCGAACCGAGTCTAGTAGCTTCCGTTCGACACCGTGCTTGTCTAATAAACGAGCTGCAGACTCGACTCGTTTAATAAAACTAAAATCTTAAACGAGTTGTTCGTGAATATGAAATGTTTTTTCGCGAACAAGTTCGACTCGATTATTTTGTTTAAAACATATAAAAATAAATAAAAATGAGTTGTGTTCGTGAACAAGTCCGGCTCAGCTCGACTCTCGACTCTTTCAAGTTTCAAGTAAATATACAAGTCGAGCTGAGCTCAAATTTTCACTAGTTGAATCGAATTGTGTTCAAATTTAACCGATCTAGTTCTGGGTTAGTCCTTGCAAAATACTTTGTAGTAATTTGTCTATCCTCAAAACTTGTGTGAGAATGCCGAAACATATTTTAGTTGATCAACAAGTCACGCATCGTGGATTATTTAATCCCATGTAGTTGGGCGTTGCACCTAAAGATCATACTTTTTGTTGTTAGGTACAAAGATTCAGGAATTCATATGCATACGTATTTTATTTGGATAATAAGTGTACTTTTTATATAAATAAATAATCTTATTCTATATATAAGCTCATGATATAGCTAAAGATGTGTAGTAAATATTTGACAAAATACCAATAAATAATAATAACAAAAGAAAAATGAATCATTAACTGAAAAAGGTCATAAACTTGAAATCATTAACTTAGTAAATGTAAATATATTTTTCTTATGTATATTTAATACTACAATGTAGATATATTATTATATTTATTATTTCGATAATCCCTCAGGACTAGGTGCAAAAGGAGTCGAGACGAGCTCGAGTTCGAGCTCGCTCGACTCGTTTACCAATATTAACGAGTCGAGCTCGAGGCCAATTCGAGATTTAACGAGTCAAATTATAAAAATTATATAAAATTAATTTTTTACTTGATTCGTTAACTAAACGAGTTTTAGATAAACTCGAGTTCAAACTTTAACGAGGTGAACTGATCCAAACTTATGAGTGATTCGTCTCGTTTAACAATTTTAGGACACATTTATATACATATCCCGACTTTTAAGTCGTCGTTTTCCGAAACAATTATGCATCGCTTTCATAATCTGTTTTCTAAGAAAATATTATTTTGAATTTAAAAGTAGAAAAAATTATCCTAAAAACACCATTATCATTGCACACAACACTATACACTATCCTAAAATAATCCCATCGTACGGATTTTTTTTTTTTTTAAATGGAAAAACAAAACGCGTGAACCCCACCAATACTACCAGTCACGCCGACCCCCACAATTCCTCGTTGCCCAACCCTTCAATCTCAGCACAGTACTTGATCCAACGGTCATAAATTCAGACACGTGTTACCCCACTTATCGAGAAACCAGCGGACTGCGTGCTGCCACGTGTCGTCCGGTAGTAAAATATCAAAGCCCCCCCCGAAAGCCCTTTTGTCCTGCCACACAAACACTCCTCTGTTCTCCCCAATCTCGCCGAGCTCAGCCACAATTTCCGATCAATTTCCCCGCCGACGGCGCACATCCATGACAACTGAATCAGAAAATAAAAAGTAAAGATAAACAAACCCATCGAGCACAAATTCTTTTTTCTCAATTCCCATTTTCTTTCGGTATCAAAGGAGATTTTTTTTCCGTCAAGATTCAGTCAATGATTGTGGACTCACAGCCGATCAAAAATCTTTCATCCAAAGATTTCTGGTTTTTGTGATCGAGGAGACTTTAAAGAAGCTAGAAACTCGTCTCTTTGTGCTTCTCGGCAAAAAAAGATCGTTTCTTTGTGAGGAAAACGAATCGATGGCGGATTCCGACAACGATTCCGGCGGTCACAGCAACAGCAACACCAGCAGCCGGGAGCAGGACAGGTTCCTTCCGATCGCCAACGTCAGCCGGATCATGAAAAAAGCCCTGCCCGCCAACGCCAAGATCTCCAAGGACGCCAAAGAGACCGTCCAGGAGTGTGTCTCCGAGTTCATCAGCTTCGTCACCGGCGAGGCCTCCGACAAGTGCCAGAGGGAGAAGAGGAAGACGATCAACGGCGACGACTTGCTGTGGGCCATGACCACCCTAGGGTTCGAAGAGTACGTCGAGCCCCTCAAGGTTTATCTGGCCAAGTATAGGGAGATGGAAGGGGAGAAAAGCTCTGTGATAGGGAGCAAGGATGGCGGCGCCGGCGGCTTGGCTGTGAATTCCGGCGGGTTCAACGGCGGGGGTATTTATGGTGGGGCTGTGATGGGTTATCATCACGGCGGGCAGATGTACGCTGGTTCTGGTGGGTTTCAGCATATTGGCGGCGGTGGTGGTGTGGTGGGGAAAGGGAATTTGGGAAATTCCGGCAGCTATGGCGGAGCCACCGGGAGGCCGAGATAAATTGGTATGTAGGGAATGAAGTAACTGATCATTGCCTAGTAAATATACTGTGATCTTAAGTGGATGAATTGATGATTTTGCCTTTCCTTTTTACCTTTTTCACTGTCCCTATATTTATCGTGTNTTATTTCGACCGATCACTTGTTGGTAGTGTTCGATTTTTAGGATGTGTGCGGATGCATAGAGTGATCATAGAAAAAAATTAAAGGATGTAAAACTTATAACAACTGTGAATGCACTTTGTGAAACTCCCGAACCGAATTTGTGTTTATCATACTTTCATTCCACTTTTTGGGTTAAGTTTAGATTTATAGGCCAATTGTTTTGGCCCTAAATTGTTTCAGTTGTTCTTTGTTGAAGTTAGAAGAATGGTTGGAAAGGGTTCCTGTTTATAGCCCTACCAAATTTTGCAGTATAATGCATTCTTTCATAGATTGCTTATAAGGATTAAACTTTCTGCTTGTGTTTATATGATTTTCATTGAGTATTCTTTGTTAACTTTCCCGACTGCAAATTTGTGGTCATGAAACACGAGAGATTTTTTGTTTTCGTTTGGTTTGATTGGCAAATTTACCTATTCTTCGGCGAGTCTTCGACTTGTTGGTTAGCTTCTTGCTTCTTCAAGCTCTTTCTTGCCTTAAACACATCTTTAGCCGTAAAAGATCACACGCTCATATGTAAAGTACCATTTGTGTAGGATTAGAGAAGGGAAAATCATTCGATTCATGTACAAATTTGCACATTTCATATTAAATTAGTATTGAAGTTTATTTTTCTTGTTTATCAGTAAATGCAATTGAAAAATCCATCGGATAAAAGTCTTACAAGGTGCATTTTTGGTCCATTAAGGTTTAGTAATTTTTGTTCATGAACTAATTTCTTATGTGATTTTGCTACATCTAAATTAGTGGACTAATTTTTTTTTTTTTAATTTGTACCACCTAGATAATGTGTCATTATTTATGTTTCCTCTTCAATTTCCACGGAAAATTTAATTCCAGTTCAAATTAATTAATTACTCCATATCCTTTTTTTTAACTCCAACAGAAAACTAGTAAACCTAGGAAGTACAATCGAGTTTGTACTTGAATCACCTATTGTGCTAGGAACAACCATTGATAATGTCTTTTAAAGGTCAAATTTAATTATACACATTATTTTTCCTTTCTTTTTGTATCCTTCTTTTCTAAATCCTAATCCCTTGAATTTGAAAGTCTCAAGGTTCTTTTTGTTTGGAATTGTGCGTGTAATTCCAATTATTTTTTGTTGGATTGGATTAGATTATACATGTTGGATGAATTGAAACTCAAAACCATTGGTTCTTTTGTTAAAAAAAATAAGGAATTTGCACCCTTTACATCCTCATATAACTTATATTACAAATTTACAATTAAACACCTATAATGCTCTTATTTATAATATCACTAAATCAAGATAAAAATATTATAATTATACCTAAACAACCGTGTAACTGCTATAGGTGAATAGTGGGGAAAATTAAATTGAATTGAGATAATTAAATGTGAGTTACAGATTTTTCGAACAAACTAAATTTTAAAGATACTCACATCTCTCTCCCAAAAAACCACCCACCGTTCACCATTTCCGTCGCACGCAGAAAAACTTCTCTTAGTTTTCCCCAACATTCTTCCATGGCCAAGACAAAAGTCTCAATTAATACTCGAAAAAAACCTTCGATCGAAGAGGACGAAACACCACAATTAAGGTCGAGTTCCCGACTTCGTAAAATCCATCCAAAAACACAACCAAAACTCATTCACAAGAAGCTTGTTTTCTAGAAAAATATGAACCTCGCCTCCTACGACCATCTCCGCCGCCCCCACCTTGGCCCTCCCTCGTGGAAGGCAGATCCACAAATCCTGCAACAACATCAAGATCACGTTCCTCTGCGGCTTCGTCACCATCATCGTTCTTAGTGGCGCCAACATCCTCTAAAGATGGTTTTGGTGTCGTCGCCATGATCGGGGGAGATAATTGGTTGGTTGCAGGAAAATCGAATTTTGTTTCGAGTTTATAGGGGTATTGGACCGTGTGTAGATCAGTTATTACGTTGAAATTCACAGACTTTGGATTGGAGTATATGTATTGTACATTTATGGTATATGTACAATGTATATTGCCTGTATAGACATGCAGTATATGTGGTGTGTATAGGAAATATATGTTCAGTATATTAGAAGATTTTTTTGTACACTATTCAGTATATGTTGTGTGTATAGGGAGTATATGTTCAGTATATTAGAAGATTTTTCTGTATAGGGAATATAAGTTACCTGTTATACATTTTTTTTCGTTGCAACATATACTGAATATATACTAACATAAACGTGATATATGCCACTTGACGGTTGCGTGAATTACAATACATGTTTTTATTTCTCTCTATTAAAAAAGGTACAAGCTGCGCGAATTAAGGAAACGGTTGATTTTTATATTTTTTTTTTCTTATGGAAACGACTGATTTTTATTCCANATGGCATAAATCATGGGAACGGAAAGTTGATGGAGTCCACTTTTTAGGTAACTGAATTTTAGGCATAAATAAAGTTAAATCTTGACAATTAGGTAGAAACATAATTATTTGTTAATTAGACGGTATATTTGCAAAATTTTCAATTTCATATAGGATATGTGAAAATTTCCCAAAAAAAATTGGGACACGGTTCATGTAGAACCCTAGGGCTAGTTTTAGTCGTGAAGATATCAAAAGGGCCGGCCCATTTGCGGGCCCGGAGATGTTAAAAAGAAATGGCCCAAGGTGGGATTTGTTGGGGCACCACTATGGGCATAAGCGCACACTAATTAAAAGCTATGTTGCACACTTTTTCTTTAACCACAATATTAATTAAAATACTTATATAATTCAGAAATGAGCTGTAAATAAAAAATAATGTAGTTTAAAGATTGACGAAAAAAAAGAATTTCATAAACTATAAAAAACAGTATATGTGTTATTAAATAATTTTTTTTTGTAAATGTACAAATAAACAGGGATTTATTCATGAATTGATATACTTTTTTTTTTTAAATGAAATGTGTTGTTGGTGAGTTTGTCTTATGTAGTTATGTGTTCTCCACACGAGTGAACTTCTATTCAATGAACCAATTTCTAAATGTCTAAGGTCTTCTCCAACTGAATTTCAAAACGCAAAAAATACAATAAAAAGTGTACAACCGAACTGCAAACTCAAACTCAAAATGGGTTTTTGTCCATTTTCTCTCTCATCAAAACCTATATATGCATGTTTTTCCTGTAGCAAACGTATTCTTCTTTTTCATTTATCAAATTAGTCCTTCATTTATTAAAATATATCTTTTGTATTAAAATTATTTTCTCCTCTTAATTTTTACAGTAAATAAATTTATGTATGAATTATACAAAATATGAGTCATCCATATGTACGAATTTATTATATGTAAAAAAATTAGTCCTACATATATTTTATTAAAATATATGTACAAATTATCAAATTAAAGTAAATTTATTATATATTATTCAAATCAAATATTAAATAATGGGTCTAATTTGTGAATTTGTAGAATATGTGGGTAATATTAAAAAGTTGTAATAGTTGATGTAAAGAAAATATTTTGAGAATATGTTTTTGGGTTTGAGAATGAGTTTTTTCGGTTGGAGGTGAATGACTGTTTGATGTGACAGTTACTGCAAAATGAGTTTTTCAGTTGAAAATGGTCTAAGTGTATATGTCATCATATTTTCACTAAGAAAATCTATTAATATATAAAAAGACAATGATATTTATTTGAAATAGCAACTAAAAATCTGCAAAAAAAACATTTAGTTTCCCACCTAAAGTATTTACTATATTGAGTAATATTTTTGGCAAAAATTTGAAAAATCCCGCCTAAATTAATGTATAGAATCATTTTGGTCAAATATTGCGGCTATTACCTTCATTAGTTGCATGATTTAAATTTGGAATCTCCCTATATATTAATTCAGAACGTGGTGAGCATAAGTGGCAGACTCGCATGCTTCGAAATCCTATATGTCAAAATTACATGTTTCGTTATTATGCTTGGGTAGATTTTAATTTAATTCCAATCCAAAAATAATTAGGTCTGGATTACCATAAATATTTTGATTATTTATGGTCATGTACATATATTAAGAATTTTAATATCATTTCTTATTATAATCATTTAATTGTAAATGTATTTTAAAAGTTAGTAACCTTTGTATTTTTTATCAGTTTTACATATATAATATATCAAATTAATCATCTTTTGACGAGCTTCGATTTAACATCCATATTGTATGTATACAAAAATAAATTATTATTATTTTTATAACAATAATAAAATTATTTTTTAAAATTAATTAAAAAATAAAATTATTTATCAATAATATATTTATATTTCAAGTAGTTATATAATACAAGTTATAAAAATTATTATAATATAACACATGTAAGTCATAAGTAACAAATGTCATTCTAAAATACATAAAAATATATATTTTTTGTGAAAAAGTAAATAAAATTTAAATAGTTTTTCTCATTAATTGTAAAAGTTAAGAATAGTTTTTAATAAGCACCTGTATAATACAAGGGTGTTGTACTAGTATAATATATTGACAAAACTTGCAGCTACTACTTTTATTAGTTGCATGATTTAAAGCTTATTATGTAAAATTTAAAATAAAAAAAAATAATTATTCATAACTTACAGGTCAATATTAACTTGGACGTAAACGAAAGAGTCAATTATTGTAGTTTAATAAATTACTCAATAACTTATGAGTCAATACTAAATTTGAAGTAAACGAAATAGTCAATTATTTATAGTTTAATAAATTACTCAACTACTTAATTTTTTTTATTTGAATAGTTTATACAAAAAAATTATTTTAAGTAATGAAACAATATAAAATTTTATATTTATACTTGTTATTCACATTGGTTGTTAAATATATGATACCATTTTACCAAAATAACTATTTTATGGAATCACATTATAGTTAAATTGTATTTCTGAATAATAATTTTGAAATGATACTTATTTTGAAACGAATATAATATAATTTATTATCAGTTATGTGCACCACACGAGTTGTGTACTAATTTTAAATAGATATTTTTATGTAATTTTATATAATTTAAACTTTATATAAAATTTTCAATAAATTAGTATAGGTAATTGTGTTACATATTGATTCCATATTTTTATTTTATAAATATTAGTTGATAAGAATTATTAATTTATAAATATTAATAAATATCTTTTACCCATACAATGCAAGGGACTCGTACTAGTTAATAAATGAAACAACCAACTCTTACGTATTCTTGAATTTCATTCTTGAAATTTACAAAGTTGCAATTTCCAAGCAGTGTGTACTAGTTAAGGAAAGTAATCAATACTTCCAACATTTTTCTGGCACAATAATGATAATAATAAATTACTCTTCTCTCTAAAACCGCAAAATGCAAAATCTCAAAGTTTGGAATAAATATAATACTCACTCCTATTCATAATAACTAATAAGTGTCAATCTTGAGAAGTTGCATAATAATTAAACATATTTTTTTTTGTCAAAAATAACCATAGAGATGGATGTTTTGAGAAAAGATGAGGAGTGATATATTTATTAACTAAATGAAGATAATAATAAAAAAAATATATACAAAAGATAAAAAATATTATTTATTTAATTAATGATTGATAAAATAAAACGATATTTAAAAAAAATAGGAGGTAATAGTATTTTTTTAGACTTGTAAGTTTTAAATGAATTTAGGGGAAGGTCCACTTTTGGTCCTCCGTGTTTAGGGGGTATCCAGACTGAGTCCCTATTATGTTTTGGTGCCCAATTTTAGTCCTTAAAACAAAAAAATGTAGTCCCTATAATTGGGAAAAATCCACTTTTAGTCCTCCATGTTTAGGGGTATCCAGACTTAATCCCTATTATGTTTTGATGCCCAATTTTAGTCCTTAAAAAAATGTAGTCCCTTTACCTCAATTTATTTGAATTAACGGTCCAATTTTGCTCGACCGTTATGTTCTTTATTTTTTTAAAATTTGTTTACTAATGTCAACTTTGACCAAAGAAAAATAAAAGAAAATTTAAATGTTGAAAAAGTAAAATAAAAGACAGAAATAGTGAACTGCAGTGAAACGTAAAAAAAAAAAACCCTAACCGCCTGGGGACTAAATCCGATCAACTGGTTGGAAATGGTGTGGTATTTTGTAGATGTGAGCTGGTTGCAAAGTTGACTACATGCTGGAAGGATGATAATCTCGGGAGAAGATTCTTGAGTTGCCCTCTATATCCTGTAAGTACTTTCCGTGAACTTCAATTGGAATATGATAAGAAATGGTTAAAAAACAGAGGGTTGATAGGTGCAATTTTTTTTGATGGCATGACCCGGAAATGGGTGCAAGAGCATTAGCTGTGATTCCAGGCTTGGTCCGCAGCGCGAATGCTAGGGAAATAGAAATCAGACGAGCAAAAATTTTAATTTAATTTAGTGCAATTTCTTGTTTTAGTTTAATTTTTTATTAATATATTTTCAGCATTTAAATTTTCTTTTATTTTTCTTTGGTCAAATTTGACTAATATTAATCAACAAATTTTAACAAAAATAAAGAACATCACAGTCGAGCAAAAATGGACCTTTAATTCACAGAAATTGAGGTAAAGAGACTACATTTTTTTGTTTTATGGACTAAAATTGGGCACTAAAACATAATAGAGACTCATTGTTTGTTTTAAGGACTAAAATTGGGCACCAAAACATAATAGGGACTCATTTTTTTGTTTTAAGGACTAAAATTGGGCACCAAAACATAATAGGGACTCATTTTTTTGTTTTAAGGACTAAAATTGGGCACCAAAACATAATAGGGACTCAATCTGGATACCCCTAAATATGGAGGACCAAAAGTGGACTTTACCCATGAATTTAAGCCTCCTCGAAACTTTTTACTTGGATAATTTATTTTTCCAGAAATACAAAACAGCCTTTCATTTTCTTTTTCTTCTATTTTACCCAACACAGTAAAGGAACACCACCAACAAATAGTCCGACCATGTCAAATTCAAAAGCTCAGATAAAAAATTCACAATATAGATTTTCTTGGTTGAACAAGGAAATAATTCAGATGATGTCATGTTTATGGCTCAAGAATTGAGCTCCCATAACTCATAACAAGACAATTTTCCTCAACAACCTTTGGTTTTTTATAGTATTTCTTTTAGCTGTTACACTCTCGTTTTCTGTATGTAACAATCGGTGCATTTTATCATTTCTTGTTGCGTCGTTGGTTATGCGTAGTTTTGCCACCATTTAAAGCGAAAAAACCCACCAGTATTTCGTGTAGGAAAGATTCGACTTTTTTTCCTTTTTTTCTTTTTTTTTTTTCTTATTTTCTTTTCGGTTTTGTATTTAAGTTGATGGGCCTCATTTCACTGTCTAGAAATCGCGAGAGTCACTTGAAGAAGAAGAATTTCAGTTAAGTTAAGAAAATGGGTCCGATGAGAAGTTTGAATCTTTGGAGTGTTTTGTTGCGAATTCTATTTGGGTTATGGTTAGTTTTTGTGGTGGTATGGCCTGTGAATGGATTAAGGCCTTTAAGGCAGAGGTCGAGGTCTTTGAGTGTGGAGGTTAGTGTGTGGGGGTGTGTGTGTGTGTGTTTGTTTTGTTTCTTAAGATTTTATGTTCTTTGTTTTCTTGGTTCTTTTTATTATGCCCCTGCTGTTTCTTGAATGAATTATATTTTGAGATGTCTAAACCCTCTATTTCTATAGTAATTGTGAGTTCCCAATTTGGCTGTGTGCTCTTCATATGATATGATTTTATTTTATGTGAAGAAGCTTGAGTAGGAAAGTGTAGCATCATAGCATCTGGATCTAGTTAATTACCTTTAGTTGCCTAATTTAATATGGAATTCAGATATTTTAATTTATCCCACTTTCTGCCTTGTAGAATAAAAAATTCAAGAACCAATAATCTGGATTGACCCTGATTTATGTGGTTATCCTTGGTATATTCATTTAAGGAATTTAGAGATGCAATTGTAGGTCATAGTTTATGAGTGAAAGAATCTTGCAGTTCTATGCATGCATTGCCATGATCTTTAAAAACCTTGTTCTTGTCATGATCAATGATTGATTATTCCGAAACTCGTGGCCGGTTATTAATTCCTGTTGCACGTCATGTCTTATTTTTAGGAGGCAACTCGCATGTTGTTTTTGTCGGAATCTTTACGTCGACACAATGCATGACGTGGTTTTTTACCTACTAATAATGTCTGTTCCTCGAGTTATCTTAAATTTCGAGCATCTCATCATTAGGAAAATAGTTGTCGCATTTTTCGAAAGTGGTATTTGTCGGAATCTGTACGTTGTCATTACGCATGACGTGGTTTGTGACGCTAGCAGATTTACTATAATGACTGTTCTTTGATGTTTTCATTAATTTAATCACCGACAAAGTTCATAGCTTTAATATGTTTGTGGGACTATAGTTAAATAGATTCATTTGGTTTCATCTGATATTTGAATCTCTTCTTGCTGGAAGTATGTACCACTATATTGCTGGCTCAGAAAATTTGGCAACAAATAATTTCGGTATATTTGTTTTTTTTTTCTAATCATTAAATATATAACTCTGTATAGGTACAGAAATCCTTGATTAAATGCCATCATGTATATGTATTTATATTGAAGGCATAAACTTTCTTCTAATTGAGAAATTTTAACCTTATAAGGAGTCTAGAACTTGGGTCCTCATTTGTGCCTCCCATAAGATATTGGTTGCTATTTTTATATTATTTGAAGCCTGTAGAATGCATTGTTTCCATAATTTGGTGCCTTAACTCATTTGAGCTCGAGATGATCACATTTATAAATTTGGTTTTCATTGGACTGACAAGTAGAGACTTGGTTTCGCATTTTATGACAAGGGCTGAGGGAAAAGCCTAAGGAAATCAATGAGCAGCTGCTTTCAAATTTTAAGACTCAATTGGCTAGTGAATCATTTTTTATTGGGAGCAAGTAAAAACTGTATTTGACTTGACTGAAACTCTTGATTATAAACATCCAAGAAAAGTCATCCATTTATGCCAACTCCATTCTTTATTAGTTCTAATGCTAGCCTTTTACTTCTTGCAGTGGCTCCCTCTAGGCAATCAAGAGAATGAATTGGGTCCGTTTTCATCTTGGAATATAACAGGGACTTATCGAGGTTAGTATATTGTCTCTGTCTGAAGTTATCTGCTAATTATTTATTAATGAATCATTTTATGCTGAAAAAGTCCACATTGGTAAAACAACTTATTGTATTATACATCAACAAGTTCTGGAATGATACAAAGTCATGAAAACTAAAGAATATTTACGCTGTTATGTATGAAAAAAACCTCAATGTAGCACTACAGATAATTACAGCACGAAGGCAATTTGTTTTTATCTGTTTATCCGGGTAAAGTTTAACAAGACATCTTTAAAAAACTGGCAGTACAGATAAGAAGAAAAAATATGGGTAGTATAATCAGTATGGTTTTCGATTTGGTTGGCCCTAATAAGCAAGGATGAATATTGGTATATGTTCTCAAACACTAATCTAATTATTTTTATTTCCTAAGTATTTCCTTATGTATTTGCTTTATTCATTCGACATGATTGTAATTTATTATTCGGTTAATTTCTTGTGTTTAGGAAATTGGAAGTTTCTAGAATCCACAAACGCCTCATCCAAATTTCCATATTTTACGAATTCAAATGGGAACTCCGTACTGGAGTTGATTAGTACTCCCACACAAATAGCTGGGGTACACTATGTTCAGGTAGTCTTCTTTAACTCGATAAGGAGTTTTGTACTATTAAATAGAGTTATTATGTTGTTATTGGATGCTTTACTATTATCATGAGCTTAAAAGGTATAGGAAACTTTTTGTCTCTCCTTTTCTCTCTTTTGAGTCACAGTCTCTTATTGTAATTATCACCTTCATGTTGCAATTCACCAGGGGATTATGATATTTCATCATGTGTTTGACAATGAGAAAGATGTTCGTGGTGCTCAAATCAGGCTAGAAGGTGTGTACTTATGGCCTTTTAGACAGTTGAGGCTGGTAGCTAACAGGTAAACTCCATTGTATTGCATGAGATT